GAAGCAGGAGCCACTGCAGGGACCTGGTATGAAGACGGGCCCAAGGAATAATAGAGATGCATGAAAGCATTTTTCCCAGTAATTTAGATAAATCTAACAGAGAAGCCCTCTTTGATCGGCGAATAACCTGAATTGAATTTCGAATACTCTGAAGCCTTTCCAGGGAAAGGAACACTTTTTCCTGCACCGTGTCAATGATGGCCCCCAAGTGGGCAATTCGGGTAGAAGGGACCAGTTGGCTCTTTTTTTGGTTGACCAGGAAACCATGGGCGTGGAGGGCGGAGAGAGTAGTCTTGGTGTCCCGCTCTGCTTGGGATTGTGAATGGGACAGGATGAGGATATCATCCAGATAGCAGTGGAGACGGACCGGGCAGTCCCTTAAGCGAGCTGCCAGGACCGCGAGGATCTTAGTGAAACTCTGGGAGTGGAGGCTAACCCAAAGGGAAGGGCCACATACTGAAAATGGTGGTGATTGTAACAGAATCTAAGGAATTTAGAGTGTGAAGGCCGAATTGGGATGTGGAGGTATGCCTCAGAGAGGTCTATAGAAGATAGCCAATCTCCTTGCCTGGTACCCTGCAAAATGGATTGGAGGGTGTGCATTTTGAATTTGCGGGGGTTTAGGAAGCGGTTGAGCCGTTTGAGGTCCAGGATAGCCCTCCATCCTCCCGAGGACTTGGGAACCATGAAGAGGTGGGAATAGAAACCCTGCCCTCGCTGAGAGGGGGGAACTGGCTGGATGGCCTGGATGGAGAGTAAGTGATGGATGGCCGCATCCATTAATTTGCGTTTGGAGGGGTCCCTAGAGGAGGGAGATGACATGAAGAACTCGGGAGGTTGAGAGTTGAACTCCAGAGCGAGTCCAAACCTGATGGAGTCCCTGACCCATCTGTCGGAAGTGGTAGAATCCCACAGGTCGGCGAAATGCCTCAGCCGACCACCAATGGGGGGAAAAAGAAAGGATTCATTTGGAGCGCCGGAAGGGTCTCCCCCCAGAACCCCTGAAGGGACGCTTAAATCCTCCGCCCCTCCTATTTCGATCGCTCGGGTCGGAACGATCCTGGGAATATGATGCTCTATACGAGGGAGGTCTCGGGTACCTGGGGGGGAAGGGGGACTGGTAGAAGGACCGGGAGGATCCTCTTCGAAAGGTCTGAGGGGCTCGGGAGTCAGGCCTCCGAAAAAGAGGAGGAAGGAATTTCTTCTTTCCCCTAGTTTCGGCCAAGAGAGGGTCCAGGGTCGGCCCAAAGAGCTTCTCCCCTCTAATGGGGGTGGAGGCCAGCTTGACCCTATTCTTCACGTCCGCCTGCCATGGTTTGAGCCAGAGCAGGCGGCGGGCAGTGACCTGGGACGCTAACGCCCGGGAGGCGAATTTAACCGAATGGTACGTGGCGTCCGCTGAGAACTCTGCCGCCGCTGTGATTTTGACAATGTCCTGCAGCGCCCGTGTATTGGATGGAGGGATGTGGGCCTTCAGTTGATGGAGCCACCGGATAGAGGACCTGGTAAAGAAGGAGGCTGCGGTGGCCGATCTAATTGCCCAGGCGTCGGCTAGATGAGCCCGCCGCAAGGCCAATTCAGACCTCCTATCCTCGGGTTTGAGGGCCTCCAGTGGGTCACTCGGGGAGGAGAAAGAGGCGAGACCAACAATGGGCTCGTCCACCTCCGGGGTATTGAGGAGGAAGCAGAAACCCGGTTCGAGGTTAAAGAACCTCTTATCCTGTGTGGATGGGGCCGGAGGAGCCCCCGTAAAACCCAGTTGGTTGGAAACCAGATCGTGGAAAATGGGAGGAGCGGGAATCACATCCTCGGCCACCACGGGCTGTTTGAACATTGCGTCCTCCAGTTCCTCCCCAGAGGAGTGGGGGACAGGGGGAAGTTGAGTGGCCAGGCCCGAGGTGTTCTTGGCCTTAAACAAGATGGACTTAAACATGTGGGGCTTGAATAACCCCACAAAGGAAGGCTGGACGGGGGAAAGGCCCTCGTCCTCCGACAACTCTGCTTGCATCGGGTCTAAATCTGAAAAGGGTTCCCCATGGAAGGTGGATCCCCATTCAAGGTGCTCCTCCTCCCTGTATTGGTCTAAAATTTCCATTCCCTCCTCCGGTTCCCTTTCTGGAAGAGGGCTGGCCCCCCGGGAGGGTACCTGACCAGGAGCAGGGTCCAGGGCGGGCATGGACCTAGTTGGCACCGGTTCTTGCGCGGGAACCATCTGAGGAAGGCTTGATCCGGCCATCTGCTGCATGCCTTGAGCTATCCCCTGTTGAATAGCCTGTTCCATCCAAGTTCTCATGTACTCAGGCATCTCGATCGTGGGTGGGTCCTCCTGTCTCAGGCCAGCGGCCGTGGGAGTGAAGGTTGCTTCAGGCCTCCGGCTGGTAGCTGGTCCAGGGTCGTGAGACTCCTGGGATGAGCTGTGCCTGGAGAGAGGGGAACAAACTGGAGGGGGGTGTGCCTGGAAGTAGAAGGGGCGGCTGGGGGTGATGGTTGAGTCACCCTAGAGCGCCTATCGAACTCCCTCTCTAGTGCCTTATGACGCCTTAAGGCGACCCTTTGAGAGGCCTTAGAAGTCTCCTGGGAGGTTTCCTTAGCCTGTCTGCGCACATGATGAGACTTAGATTTCACCTTCAAAGAATGGCGGGAGTTAGGGTTATCATCTGCCATGGTAAAACAACAGAA